AAGCTTGCTAAAGGCGTTTGCGAATTATGTTTGGAGAAATAAATAAATTCCATCTTATATAAATTATAATTTTAAAACAGTATGTTCAAATTTTTGAAAGATTTACGTCGTATGAAATGAATATAAAACTTACTGTATGTAAAAACTTAATTTAATGAAATGCTAACATTTTACAGTTTTTACAACTAATATCTTAGTAAATTATTTTTACTATTGTAATAAAAAACTTAATTTGACGTTTTTCCATGATTTCAAATAATGTATTTTTATCTTTTAGTAATAGCAACTTAGAGACTCCTTCATGTTATAGCGTTTGTAAATGTAATTTACAAGAGTTAGCAATTGTTATCTGTGTTGTCATATCGAAATAAAATGGCACTTTGTAATCACCACGATAGTTTTTTAATTCATCATCCAGCTTTAATTTTTATTTGAAAACGCCATCGATTACCCAATTTAAATGTCAAAATTATATATTAGGTTATATAGCAAGGAAAATCATTAGGAATTATTGGAGTATAATTTTTCGGAAGGATATAAATTAACAAGACTTAATTGAGTTGCCTTTAATCTGTCTTATTATTATTACAGTTTGATCAGATCACAAATCTCAATAAGTGAGAAGAAGGTTACAATCAACTGTCTATTACATTTTTGTTGCTAATCTTGATGTACATTAATAGTAATATTCTAGTCTTCGGTAACTTATCGAGCTTTCGGATTTTCGTTTCTAAGCCATTGCGTATGTCCCAATGTTCTTGTATTGTTTGACAGTACGCAACATTCATATTAGGATTAGTTTTTGAGTCAGGCGTTACAACGCCTGCTAGTACATATTTAACTTGTTCTTCTCCTTCATTAGCGGGTACATATATAAATCGAGGAGCTGCATTAACAAAGTCGTAAACATTACTTTCTTCTAGATCTATACATAAGTACGCTTCCCAATAATAATAAACTTTATTAGTGCTTTTTGCAGGACATTTTTTACATAAAATATTACAACTTTGCCATTTGGTTTCAAAATACAAATCTAAAAGTAACTGCAAATCGCTTAAGTTTACGGATGAAAAAAGCTTCAAACTTATGACAGTTTCAGAACAATATTGTGCACTACCGTCGCATAATGCGCAATAGATATACATCGTATATGACTTATGGCTTCCCATAATTTTTTTTGTGAAATTGCCCAAAGTATTTTCAATTGTTATAACACCTCCATTCAGATCTACTGTGGCATACTTGTACATTAATTTTGCGCGTCTATCGTATACCGTCGTAACTAAACCCGTATTACAGAATTTTTTTATTAATTGTATAAAGCAGTCATTGTTACAAGATGGTACGCATAGGTTGCCATTCAAGCATAAGTTTTTGAAGGTATTAAAATTTTTACATGAAAATGAAAATATTTCAGCAATTACATCTATCTTTGATGTATCTTCAATCGTAAATTTTTGCGAATTAATAGTTCTACAGCCTAGTTCTGTAGCATTGCGGATTAGTGTATCTTTACCTCTAATCGAAGCTGCTTGATCGTGTGCTAATTCAAAACCTGACGCTGCTACAGGATATTTACTATCATTTTTCTTTACAGACACATATTCCTGATTGTGGTGACATGATTTCTTTAATTTTTCAGTACACTCCATTAAAACAGCTGTCTCTGTTGTCATTATTCGTCTATCTTGACAAACATTGTCCCCCTTTTCAGGAATTACTTCTGAAGCTGAACTAACTTCTTCCACATTATTTTTATTATGATTCGTAAAATTTTGTTCGCGTGCGTTTTCAGAAACATGATCATCCTTTGACAGGGAATAATTGTGATCCAATGAAATTGTTTGTAAAAAGTTAGTGACATCCGAACTTAACAATGATGAATGAGCCTTTGGTAGGAAATCGGGTTTTCCGTCATTACTTGCATCCTCAGCTATAAATAAATTAATTTGTACATCATTATGAAAAAATGTGTTGTGAACATCATTATAAAAATTACCATTTTCGACGAAATTCTTGACACGTTCTTTTGTGTCCGTTCCACTACTTTTTATTATTACACTGTCATGTTCTGAGTTCAATAAACTGTTACTTTCTTGAAATATAAAATTTTCAGCTGAATTTAGGCTATTAGGATTATTTATAATATCGGAAATTACTTTCTGTGCAGCTTTATAACAATCGTTTTTTCCTCGCCAATTTTCTTCACATCGATGATATACTTGTTTGTTATTTGGTTGTTTTATCTTGTTTCGCTGCTTGGATCCTTTTCTCAAGCGATTGTTTAAAACAGATTTTGCTTTTCGCATTGAATCTTTTGATGTCATAATAATATCAGCTAGAAAACTAGGAAAATTTCGTTGATTTGCTGGTAGCAGTTTTTGTTGATTACTGACATTGGATATAAATTGAAAATCTTCCCCGTTCAACAATATTCCAGTCCAGGCTGGGAATGAGCTTAATAAAAATACTAGTTCACCCTCATACCACTCTGGACAACAATAAGAATTAGGCAGACTAGGAACAGAGTAGGTTGCAATCTGTGTTTTCAAGTCTAGGATGTATTCTAAAACTTCCATTGATTTCATCTTTTCAGTATCAAATACGGTGATATCAGCAGGTCCATATGCTTTATCTTGATATTTCAAAAAATTTTCATAAATTTCTTGAACTTCCGATGTTTTTAATTTATCATCCAGCAGCTTCTTATGTACAGTAACATTATTATCATCGTATTGTGACAAAAGGCAAATCAACATACTAGTAACAGTGTTCTCAAAATCTTCTAAATTCTTAACGAATCTTAAATATATAATACATTTAACGTAAAATTTTCGAACCGTGGGAGTTACATTTTCCAAATATATAGATTTTTCCATTTTCATCAATATGCTTATTAAATCAATATTGAGTAATACCGAAGGAAGTGTCCCAGTATTACCTTGAATGTATTTTAAACTTTTTAAGCAATAATCATAAAAAGTGCACATGTTGAGAGCTAAACATGCGCTATTTATAACTACTTGGTGGTATTTGACGTGGAACTGGTATGGCAAATCCATTGATTCATTTTTTAGTAAATTTAAAATTAAGTATTTTATATCAGAATTTTTTACTATTTCACTTATAATCTGTGAAAGATAGATGGGATCATTATCTACTTTCGCCACTATAGAAATAATGTAATTTTCATTAGTTTTGTAATGTTTCAATTTAATGAGTGGCGCAATCACTTCAATTGCTGTTACGCCAATATTGCAATCAGCATTAACTAATAATTTGAATGTATCTGTATGTTCTGCTGATTTTAAAGAAACTGAGAAAGGTCGGAGACGAACCTTTTTGATTGCACCATGAAATTGAATATTATACCTCATATGTAATAAATCACTGTATTCATCGGACATAGTATCTTCTTCATTGAGACGATTAGCATTAATATTAATATGATCTACAACAGACTCTTCATTCAATGTTTCAGGTTTATCACTTGACACTTGTTTTTCTGAAACGAACTTCGGAAAGTGATGTTGCTCAAGATCACGTTTCAGATCTTTCCTGTTGTTGAATATGGTTATATAAATATTATGAGCAGTCATCGGCCACAATAGTTTACTAGCTTCATTCCAGACGTTCTCCTTGTTCACATCCTCATATTTTTCCTTTCGAAGATTATGCTGATCATCAAATATCGGAAGTGTTTTCAAAACATTAAAAATATCTAGACGTGACTTTATAGGCGGACGTGGCATATTGGAAGGCGAAGAAACTGAAATATAAATAAATTATATACGTTGTAATAAGTGATTAAACGTGAGATAAAATAGACTGTATGAAGTACATACCACTCGATACTTGTATTGAATAATTCAATATTTGTAGCAGTCAAAATGTTTGGTGTATATTGATATTATTGAAATATCATATAGTGCCTATCTATCCAAAAAAACAGCATCGCTTGCATGAATTCTTCGCACAACCAAGAGACATCTCAAAGATCACGCGAATTCAGTTTAGACTCAAATTATTAACTAATGAAAGTATTTTGTTTCCAAGAGATACTAGATTCACAACCTGAAATAAGTAGACAATCTGTAGTTATATCTTGAAGTCGAACAAATGTTTCAAGCGTTTATATGGTTACCATTGAATCTGACTTAAAAAAAATTGAATGCATATGAGAAATAAAAAATAGATGAATTTAGATAGAAAGAGAAAAAGAGTTTAATGAAAATTATCATTTGAACGTAATGAAGCTTACCACTTACAAACACCACCCAGCATCGCAATCCTATTCCAGGCAATTAAACAGTTTGTTTCTTCGTTGAAAGGGCGAACTGCATTGGATTCTCGTCAACGAGGATCACCCTTAAGGAATATCTACAATTCAGACAAATACAGTAACAGTACTTTTTTTTTATTAAACACTAACACGATTTGAAATTTAACGTATTCAGTTTGGACTCAAACTAACTAAAGAAAGTATACTGAATGCACCATACTCGTAAAACAAAAGCCGACGTTCAAAGTTTTGAGAAATCTGAGAATGCGCGCGGACAACATGACGAGACATGCGTGCACCAATCGCACGTGTCGTATTACCTACGCAAGTTAGCGTGGGCTTTTTAAAATAGAAAACTAGTATCATTGATTTCAGTTTATTAATTCAAATGATGTGCACTAACATAAAGCAATTAATTTAATGTCATCATTTTTGGCTTTAAGGAAAAGATTAAAATGTATCTTACTGTAAAACTCAGTTGTTATGCAAATTTAATTTATAATTTTTCGCATGACGTAAGCGTTTATAAAATCGTGGATTAATTAAACTTACGACAGGTGCTCCTACGAGTGTAGACGTGACGGCACTCGGAGATGGTAGCAATCAGGTTGTCATAGCGAAACAAGTAAATGTACCCTCGACCTTCTGCGTCTTCTTTATTTTTCTTGATTTTGGTAATGATACTTTGTCTGAAAAAAACGATAGTATGAACACGACTTTACACGCTACCACTTGATGTGTCTAAGTCGCATTTGGAAATAACGGAACTACTTGTCAAAGTCGATTCAGCTCCTAAGGATATGGCTCCACGTTTATGCCTTTGATTACTCAACGGATTCTCGGCTAACTTGGGCTGGACGGGAACCGGCATTTCATCTGCAGATAAGAGGTCGTCTTCAAATCCAGCAACTAATGAATTTGCAGTTTCAGTGTCACTGTAAATAAAGTGTGTTATTCAAGAAAATATCAAAGATATTATATTACAAATATATATATAATAAACGTGTAAAGACGAACCTACCCAAATCACCTTGCTTTTTCTGGCTTGCTTGAGAATTTGACTAGAAATTATCATCGAAAGACGATTTGTCAAGATAGTCATCATCAGGTACGAAGTGTTCAGCAGTAGCTATTGTAGCATTTTTATATGCTTTGAAATCGTCAGATGGTTTTTCTTTTTCTAGGCTTGATTCTTTTTTAAGTGTTCTTATTTTTGATACGAAAGACTTTGAGATCTCCTTGGAAACTCTTTAATATCAGAGTTAATGCTAGTGGATGCTTTTGCAGATAAGGACTCTGGTGTGCTGGTACTACCGGGTATTGTTGGCTGTTGTTCGATTTTACCATTAGTATTGTTCCCTAGTGTCTGTGTGTCTCTTTTCGCTGTTGAGCAAGTAGGCATATTTTTAACAGGTATTGGAGTATCATCTCCAATAGAACCGAATGTTCTTGCCAAAGGTGCAACTGGATTACCTGGTGGTGCATGAGGACTCAAAGTTGATGTGATATTCGGAACTAATGTAGTTGCAGTCACAGAATCTGCTATTGCTTTTCTCTTATTTACTAAGTTATCCAAAAATTCATGATAGTCTGCATCATCACCTTCTTGATACAAGTCTAATTCTTGAATTGTCAAGAGAGTTTCTTCTTTAATAGTTTCTAATTGTTGTAAAAGAGTCTCTCTTTGCAGTTGCAGAAATGGAAGATTAAAAAATTTGTGCAAAAGTTTCAATCCAAATCCATTCCTCATTGAAGTTTCAGCATATCTTACTTGTGCAGCTCTTTCTTCAAGTGAGTCAATGAAATAAGTAGCGTGGTCAGCAGTTACTGTTCTGCGATGAGACATGTCACAGAGATTGCCCAAAACAATAACTGGTATGTGGCTGGGTATTTTTGGAAGTTCTCGTTGAACATAATCAAAAGTCCACTGTTTAGTTATATCCATCATGACTAGTACACCATTGGTTCCCTTGTACACATCTAAAAATTCAGCATCCAATGCAGGCTCTTGTTATTCCTGCACTATACGTAAGACCCAGGTTCTTGTACATTCTATTTCTTATATCCATGGCAATGTTGCTTGCCACAGCTAAAAGAGTATGGCATCCATATGGACAGACTTCTTCTGAAATCTCAAAAAATTCACCAACGAGTTTATATTGTTCTAAATTATACACTGCACAATTAGCTTTTTCTTGTTTCAAACTCTCATCACCTTTGGCACTTGTAGACTTTGCACTGGTATTGGAGATTTGTTCAGTGACCAAAGATGTAACGTCAACCAAATTTGCAATTTTTCAACTAACTGGTGCAGATGGTTAAAAATTTTAGCAGATCTTCTTCTGTAAGGTGTCAAATCTTCTCCTCCAACTTGTACTAAATTTGGACACAAACTTAAAGCCTCCTTTACTGGCATACATTTTTTTAAACCAAATTTTCTTGCCTCATAACTACTAGTAACAACTAAATTTTTCTGCCGTACTCCAAGTGGTTTGCCTTGGCGTTCTGGATATAGCATTGATTTGACTTGAGCACAAAGATAGTCAATATCTAGGTGTAGAATACTTTTTGAATGCCCAATCACTGAATGATCACTTTCGTAGTCACTGCTGACATCCATCTGTGTGTTTTTTCCCACAGCCTTCTATAAAAGAAACGCTGTTAAACTACGTTATTTGTTCCTGATTTTTAATAAAAAAAAATTATCCAAAAGACCTGTAGACTAGAATTCAGTAGTTTAAAAAATGGAATTGGAGCTGCTCTCTGGAATGTTTATGTTTTATTCTTATCACAGTCTTGATTTCCCAGTACTAAATCACCAATAACGTCCAAGTAAAAAGTAATCACGATAGTAAAATCTTGGTACAGCCTTTATAATGATTGTCTTGCAAATCTGTGAGCCATGTGGTAGCTTGATTTGTATTGTTCACGTGGTTTAATTTTATTTTCAGAGTATCATCCTGCTCATGAATTAATGATGACAATCCATAGCAGCCTCCTTCAGTAGATGCCTAGAAAATTAAAACCCATTTAACAAAAACGTAAATAGAACAAAATCAACTATAAGTAGAAATCCATCAATCATAGAGCTTTGTTGAATGAGTAATTATATTCAAAAGAGACAAGGATACAAATCTTCAGTTTATATCGAATCAAATAAACGTGACATTTTCATTATCATATATTATATGATAATAATAAATTCGATGTAAACTGAACAATCCTGTTGAGGTTAGAATACTTTGAGATGGTTGTAATAAATTCGGTTTCAGGACGATGAGACACAAAATATTTTTCTAGTTCTGAATGTATGAATGAATGACTTACCTTTCAATTCTTCATTGCTCCATTTGTTTATCTGTCCAATGCCGTTGGACGATTGCAAAATGCAAACTATTATGTACTCTTTAAAGGGCCTTGCGTGCAAGCGCTGGCAAGCGCCTCGCCGCCACCAATCTAATCACTGCCGCCAACATGCGATTAGCTAGCACAGAACATGCGCAACGATCCGTCATCGACCGTAAGCCAGTTAGTATAGACCAAAACCGTTTTTTATTATTATTTACTTGAATAATAAACTTATCTCCATTTTTATCTTGGGTGCTGTTAGTTCATCTCATGAACTAACGATGGGAGTATCGAGAATTTATTTTTAATGTATAATTGATTTATTTTTTGGTCGAGAAAATATGGGTGCTAGGACCCAGCACCCAAACCTTATTTTATTTTTTTTAAGGGATTATTTACAGACGAACAAATGAGCAACATTAAGAAAAGTTGTTGTGTAACTAACGAACTATCTAAAGAAATAATTAGTTTGTCAATTATCTCAAAAAATTAGAATATGGGTGCTAACTTTTAAGACCTAATCCGGTTCTACTTGTTCGTTAAGGACAATGTCCAACCCATGGAAAACAGCCCGACAGAAATAACATTTTATAAAAAAAAATGATCACATCTCACGTATGTATAATTGTACTTCTCGAAAAAATAATTATTTGTTATTGTACCATTATATTTCTCATAAAAAATAAAAAATATCGTTATCGATAATTCACCTCCTATTTATTCACATAAAAGACATAATTAAGCAAAAATAAATTCACAGAAAAATTGTACCTCCTGTAGTCTAAATTGTACCATCAGTACAGTCTTATAAATTTGTTTCTAAAAGAAATAATAGGACAATTATAAAGCTCTACGCCTGCGCAAATTGCATTTCCGGATGACATCCTTGTAAGTTGTTACAATTAGTGGTAATTTGTAATTATCCTATTATTTCTTTTAGAAACAAATTTATAGAATTGTACTGATGGTACAATTTAGACTACAGAAGGTACAATTTTTCTGTGAATTTATTTTTGCTTAATTATGTCTTTTATGTGAATAAATAGGAGGTGAATTATCGATAACGATATTTTTTATTTTTTCTCAGAAATATAATGGTACAATAACAAATAATTATTTTTTCGAGAAGTACAATTAGACATACGTGAGATGTGATCATTTTTTTTTTATAAAATGTTATTTCTGCCGGGCTGTCTTCGCATCGGTCAGTGTCCATGGCTAATTGTCCTGTCAGCTGTTGCTCAGCTATCTCGTGTATAAGTCCTATTTGAGCTTCAGCTGACTGCCAATGGATCGGCACCGCACCTTTTCGGAAACGCAGCTTTCCATTTACACACGTCATGAAGTCTTCGTCCAAAAAGTGGTCGATGCAAATTGAAGCGGTCCTTAGCGACGTCGGAGCCTAATACTTCAGTTTGTCGTTGCCTAAGGATATAATTTTTTCAAAATTGTTGTTACGGTAACATGTTTCACATGTCCGGCATCACATTCTTTATTTCCTTCTCCAAAATAATCCTTTCTATAATAGCAAGTTACTACTTAGTAACACTTTTGCCAAACTTTTGGAAGTTTAGCTCGTCGTTCGTATCGAAGGCAAGAAGTTTGGTTAGATTTATACATATAGAGTCGTATTTTGCTTGGGATCTAGTATGCGACCTCTAGCGGAATAATTTATAACTAATATCTGTACATATGAGGTTATAAATCGGCATTTCTTATAGTTGAAGACAAATCATAATAGTAATTACAATCTAGCTTTTTCAATTTTATTCCTATTGCATCATTAAAAATTTTATATTTATTAGCTAGAATATCGGCTAATTTTGAATTTGATTTAAAAAGAAATTATTGCTTATTCCACTATATCTTAATTAAACTTAATAATAATTTTAAGATTTAAAAAAATTCAACCGAAAAATCAAGTTTATTTTTTATTTTAGACTTTTCAATGGTTTTATAACTCGATGGAAAATTATAAAATAAAGAATGTGAATACCATACATGTGACAAGAATTGTAGAGTATTTTAATTTTAAATAAATAACTAAAAGATAGAGTGCACAAGTGAAAGAGAGAAATATAAAGAAATTGTATTTTTCATTAAATCAATAAATAAATAAAAGAGAGAGAGAGAGAGAGAGAGAGAGAGAGAGAGATACAACTTGAGCTTGACAAACTTCATGTAAAGTTGAACGACGGTCGCTCAATTGCGTAACTCATATTGTGAATAATTCGAGATTGCCTAATATCCCCTTTGCTGAATTGTCAAAAATTCTTTGCCACAATCATAGGAAAATGCATCGAGTTTATGTTCTTTAGAATAAACATAAAATTATAATTTAATCGTATAATGATTTTTTGTTTAATTAAGACAAAGATGATTGTATTAAAAAAATTATGATAATATGCTCGTGATTACAAACTTGTAAAGTAGTAAAACGTAGTTTCCTGCTGTAGAAGTCACGTGATCGTCAGATGCATTTTATATAGAATATTTTTTACACAACATAGTTATAAAAATTTTTTTTTATAACCGTGTTGTGCCGTAGTACTTTACATTCTACTCAAGGTGCAATATATGCATACTGTAGTTATTGTTCGGATTTTCAGGTGTAAGTGTTTTTAGATACGTAAATTTCGAATGCTCTTGATACAAATGTACTTTCGTTATTGGGTGATTCATAATTTCGTTTATTTTTTTTGAAAAAAATTGTTAATATTAATTTTGTTATTAAATGTTATTTTTCTTTGATAATTTTATCGTTTTTCGTCTTTTTGGTTCTAATTATTTGCGTTATTTCAAGTGTATTTATAAATGATAATTATTTATGCTTATTTGAGGTTAGATTTCACTCGAGGGGAGTGTGGACGTGTCTTGGATGTGAGCGCAAGTTTTGGTGATAAAGTCAAAGAGGAAAAGTGTTTGAGGACAGAAATAGAGGTGAAAAGAGCGTGGAGGTGGAGGAGTGGAGAAGAGAGAGAGAGAGAGGCCTGGAGAAGAGCAGGAAAAAGCAGAGAGAAAGGAATAAAGAAAAAAATAAAAGTTGAGGTTAAGAGAGAAAATCAGAAAGCGGGAAAGGCAGGCAGAGAGGAGGGGCGGTAAGAAGTAAAGGCAGAGACAGAAAAGGTAAGACAGGGAATAAAGGTGGGATCACGGGTAGTTATAGAGAGTCGAATTAAGGCGTACGGGATAGGATGGAAAGATTTGTGACAACAGAAAAATTAAGAGATAAAGGTGGAAGGTTGGATAAGAAAGGCCCAGAGGAGGAAAAGAAGAAAAGAGTAAAGGTGGTGAGGGGGAAAGAAAGCGGGGAGGGGCTGAGGGAGAATAATAGAGGAGAAATGAGAGAGGCAAAGTGATGCAAGAGTGAGAGCGAGGGAAGCGAGATGGATGGGGAGGGGGGAGAAGGATTGGACAATACGTTAAGAGAAGTGGGAAAAAGTAGTGGTGCAGAAGAAATAATGGAAAAGATACGGACAGACATAAGGGAATTAAGAGAGGTATGGGAGGAGGAAAGGAAAGAATGGACAGAAATGTTTAAAGAAATAATGGGAAAAATGGAAAGAATAGAGGCAGCGGGGAAAAGAAGAGAAGAAAGGTGGGAGAAGGAAATAGGAAAAGTTAGGAAAGAACAAGAGAGAGATAGAGAGAAGAAAGAAAGAAAGAGACGAAAGAAGAAAGGGAAAAAGCACAACGTAGAGAAAAGAAACTGCAGGAAAAATTGGAAGAGAGGATGGACCAGTTGGAAGAGGAGTGCGTGAAACTAAAAGAAAGCATGGAAGGAGGAAACAAGAAGCAAAGAGGAACAGAAGTAGGCAATAAGGAAGATTTAGAGCACATGAGAGAAAAAATGGATAGGGAAAGTAGGATAAACAATAAAATAGTAACAGACTTAGAGGGTGAGTTAAGATGAGAAAAGAAGGGAGAGGCAGAGGTCTGGTTAAGGGAGGTACTAGAAATGAAAGGAGAGATAGTAAATCTGAGAAGAATAGGAGGAACAGCGGAGAGAGATGATCGGAGAGAAAGAAGAAAAAACATGTGGCAAATTAGATGCGCGTCATGGGAACAAAAAGAAGGAATTATGAAGAAGAAGAAGAATCTGGCACAGAAAAAGATATACATAGATCAGGACTGGACGTGGAAGCAGAGAAAGATAAGAGAGGAAGTAAGAAGGAAAGCGAAAGAAATAAGAAGTAAAGCTAAAGAGGTAAAGATGTGGCATAACGGGGTGAAATCAGAGGAAGAAGAATGGTGGTGGAGCGAGAGAGAGGGAAAAATGGTAGGAAAGGGGGTTTCGAAAACAATAGGGATAAAAGACAGAGAGAGAAGAGAAGGGAGAGAGAGGGGAGAAAGGCAGTAAAAATACTATTCTAGAATGTGGCAGGGGTGAGGAGCATGGAGGAAGATGACTGGGAATATGTTAGGGAATTCGACATAATAGGGCTAACGGAAACCTGGGTGAAGAGGCAAGGGGCAAGAACTGGTGTGGAGGAACAACTGAAAGGGTACAGCATAGAGTGAAGGGACTTAAGAAGAGAAGGAAGAAGGGGGAGAGAAATAGGGGGAGGAATAATGGCGGTAAGAGAGAGGAAAGGGATGAATAAGGTAGAATGGAAGAAAGAAAGGACAAGTGAGGTAATAGTAGGAGGAATAAAGATCGGAGGGAGGGAATACATGATAGCATCGTGTATATGCAACATGAGAAGAAGGAAAACTATGAATACCTAAGTGAAGAGATAGAGGAGAATAGAGGAAAAACAATAATTATGGGAGGAGACTTCAACGCAAGAACAGGTAACGAAGGAAGGGAATGGGAGACAGAAGAAAACCTAGAAGAATTTAAGGTCAAGGATAAAGTGTTAAACGCAGAGGGAGAAGAAATGATAAAATGGCTAGGAGAAATGGGCTTAGTGATAACGAATGGGAGAAAAGAAGGAGATGAAGAAGGAGAAATAACATATATAGGAGCGAGAGGAATGTCAACGATAGACTATGTAGTAGGTAACGAGGAAGGTGATGAGGCGATAAAAAAGGTTTAAATAAAGGAAAGGGTAAAGTCGGACCACTTACCAATAGAGGTGGAACTGGGAGACAAAATAGCGGAAGAAAGAAAAGAAGAGGAAGAAAGAATGATAGACGACTGGAGTGAAGAAGGTATAAGGGAGTATCAGAGATGGATAGACGCAATAGAGGGAACAGATAAATGGAAAGATATAAAAAATAGAGTGAAGAACGTAGTTGTAAAAAAGAAGATAAGAAAAAAAAAGGATCAAAAAAAAGCTGGTGGAGAAAAGAATGTAAGGCAAAAAGGGATAGGGTGATGGCAGAGTTAAATAAGGTAAGAAAAGGGGAAGGAGACAGAGGCAAATACTTAGAAGCAAAGAGAGAATACAGAGAGGAAATAAGAAAAGCAAAAGAAGATGAAGGGAAAAGAGTGGAAGAAGAAATAAGAACAGATAAGACGAGAAGAAAATTCTGGGATAAAGTGAATGACAATAGGTAGAAAAGAATTGGATTAGATGAAAATATAGGAAAAGAAGAATGGATAAAGCACTTCAAGGAACAATTGGGAGAAAAAGAACAGGAAGAAAGTAAAGGGGAAGAAACCGAAGACAACGAAGGAGAGGAAGGTGAAGAAATTAAAGAAAGAGAAGTAAAAGAGGTAATAAGAAAAATTAAAAAGAAAAAGGCGACAGGAGAAGATGGTATAGCAAATGAAGCGTGGGTGGAAGGCACGGAAGACTTGATAAAAGATATGACCAAGTGCTTAAATGGAATATGGAACGGAGAAGGATATCCGGAAGAATGGAGGAAGGGAATTATAGTACAAATATATAAGAAAGGGAGGAAAGAAGAAGTAAGAAACTATAGAGGAATAACGCTGATGGATACGGGATATAAAATATATGCGGAAATACTGAGAAAAAAGCTGGAAAGAGAACTAGAAGCTAAAGAAACGCTAAGTGATACGCAGATGGGATTTAGGAAGAAAAGAGGAACAATGGATGCGATATTTATATTGAAAACAATAATAGGGAAGGAAATAAGGGAAAAAGGAGGAAAACTGTTCGTATTCTTTGTAGACATGAAGGCCGCTTTTGATAAAATAAAGAGGAAGAAAATATGGGAAACAATGAAAGAGAAAGGGATAAATAGAAAAATTAGGAAAAGAATAGAAGAAATATACAAGAAAACAGGGAGTAAGGTAAAAGTTGGAGGAGAAATAATTGGGGAGTTTGAGACTTACAAAGGCGTAAGGCAAGGGTGCCCTTTGAGCACCACGCTATTTAATCTTGCCTTCGCCGACCTGGAAGTGAAGATCAAGCAGGTGTAGGAAGGAGGGGTAGTGATAGGAAGGATGAAAATATGGACATTAGGATACGTAGATGATATAGTGATGATGGCAAAGAGTGAAAGTGGAATGAAAGCAATGCTGAAAAAATTAAAAAGAAACCTGGAAGAAAGGGGATTAGAGTTAAATGTAGGAAAATCAAAGATGATGAAATGCAGGAGAGGAGGAAGAAGGGGGAAGGAAGAAGAATTCGAATGGGAAGATGAGAAGATAGAGATGGTGAAAGAGTACAACTACTTAGGATATGTGATAAGCAGAAATAACGGAAATAAAAAGCAGATAAAGAAGGTAGAAGGGAAAATAAATATGGTACTCGGAAAGTTATGGGGGCTAGCAGAAAAGCTATTTAGAGAAAACTGGGAGCTAAGGATGAACCTGTTCGATGCTCTGGCGAAAAGCGTGATTATGTATGGAGTAGAAATCTGGGGATGGAAGAGATATGAGGAAATAGAGAGACTACAACTAAAATACATAAAGTGGGTATTAGGATTAGATAGAAACACGCCAAATTACCTAATACGATGGGAAACAGGAAGACAAGAAATGAAAGAAACAGCATTAGAAAGAGCAATGAAGTATGAAAACAAAATAAGAGAAGAAAGAGATGGCTTAATAAGGAAAGAAGCATGGAGAGAATTAAAGAAAAGGGAAAGAAAGGGTAAGAAGGAGGAGAGAGAGGAAAGGCTGGAAAAAAGTAAAATATACAGAGAGAGAGAAGAGGGAGATGAAATGAGGGAAGAGTTTTGGGAAGAAATAAGAGATGAGCTGAAGAAAAAAGATGAAAAAGAACTAGAAGAGAAGCTAGAAAAATCAAGATACATAAACGAGAGGAAAGAGCTGAAAGAAGAAATGAAAAGGTATAGGTTAAAGGAAATTCAAGGAGAGGGAAGAATAAAAGGCCTGCAAATAAGGGATAGGTTTAGATTAGGTAATGAAACGAGAGGAAGCAGGTATTGGGAAAAAGAAGAAAATAAAGATGCAGAATGTGTATGAAAGAGGAAGAAAATTGGAAGCACATGATAGAAAAATGTGAAAAAAGCAGAAAGGAAGGGGAAGAATGGGAAAAAATAATAATAGGAAGCAAAGAAAAGATAGCGTGGATGATGGAGATAAAATGGAAAAGAAGAAGAAATGAAGAGAAGAAAGAAAAAAAAAGCAAGAAGACGAAGCTACAAGACCCTAAGGAGAGACGGAAACAGAAGACAGAGATGCAAGACTCGCAGACACATCTACACACACATATATACACACATAAAACAAAAACATACGCGCAAAAATAAACATACACATGCACACACACACACAAGACACAAGTAAAAGCAACTACACAAGCGACAGGAAGTAGGTATTGGAGGATGGAGCAAAATGGAAAAGAAGAAGAATCGAAGAACAGAAAGAAAAAGGTAAACTAGAAGGCAAATCATTAGATACTAAGGAAAAATAAGTGAGGTTGAAGAAAGGAAAGGCAGAGGGAGCAATAGGAAACAAGAAAAAGGTGTCAAAGCCTTAACAAGAAGAAAGATAGATAAAATGATTAGCAAGAAGGAGAGCAAAAGCAAAGGAAAGGCAAAGGTGAAAAGGCAAAAGAAAGTAATAAAGGAAAAGCTGAAAAGACAACAGAAGAGCGGAAAAGGCAGATCTTGGAGAGAGAAAGAGGAAGAGAAGATTAATCAGAAGAAAAATGAGAAGAAAAGAGGAACAGGCAGGCCCAGAAGACAGGGACACAGAGTTTCAGACACACCTACAAAGGCACATATTTACACAACACATACACACACACACACACACGCACGCGCGCACTCACACACACACACACACACAAAACACATACATTATCAACCACACAAACTGGATACGACACATAAATAGAAATTTAAGAAATGTAAACCAAATGTAACATATAAGTTGTAAATAAATAAACTAACTAACTAAACTAACTATTTATGCTTATTTGCGTTTTCAACTGTTTAAACGATAACAAAAATATGTCTGAGCAAAGATGAGATTCAATTTCTCATCTATAAATATATATAATGTAGTATTTGTCAAAAGAGAAATCAACGAATGTTGTAAGTGAATAATACAGCAATCATATATGTGCGACATTTTTATTTTATATTTATTAGACTTAAAACTTGGTTATACAGAGTTTCCATTGGGTAACGATAAGATATTGCCGTAAGACATTTGTGTACAATCTATGTGGCTTTGCCTATGATGGCAGATACATTGATAGATACATCATTAATACGTTTGATTTTTAAACGTCGTATCTCAACAAAAGCTCGACGCGTGTGCAATTTTTAATTTATTAATTTTTTTAATTCATTTTTTTAAGATCGTAAGAAAGTATCAAATCACAGTCGTTTCATACGTATGATTCCTACTTAAATTGAAAAAACTGCTCTCAACAATCGGAGGAACATGCGTGAAACGCGTAAAAATTCTTTTTTAATAAATTTATAATTGACAATCACTATTCATCTTGTCTTCAGTCACCAATTTTTTATTTAAATCTCCCAAACGTAGATATAGCAAATGAGAGAGTGAGAGAGAGAGAGAGAGAGAGAGAGAGAGAGAGAGAACAGAGACAAAAGGAAAGAAATTTTATTAAATCTAATTAATTTTAACTTACCTGCGTTGTCATTCCATTGCTTGTGGCGGTTTTCCTGAGTCGATGCATCGGGGAAGCGAAAAAGTTGATGACCGTTGATCCTTGAATTGTTGCAAAGTCTGTACTGGCAGAAATCGTACGTTTTCGCCATCATGTACGATTGATTGCACGTTCACTTAATCACTTTTCACGCACTGTTATCACTTTTCACTCACTTTTTTCACTTTTCACTCATTATTTTCATTTAAAGCACCTTAAGAAAACTATTATTAAGAAAACTTTTATCACAAAAAAACTGGCCCTTGGTATGCGCACGTAGGTGCCAGAACGACAATGATAGATTCGAGTGCGAATTGACAGCCGATACTCGGTCACATTAATAACCGCCAAAACAATAGAAAAGGGCATTTAAAAAAGTCGGTTAATATGACAATTCAAATTACAATATGAACTGGGAGCTTGAATAACAAGTATTTCTAAAATGTTGAAACATTTAAATGATTAGTATTAATTAATGATAATACATTCGATAGTAAGCCAAATTGTGTATAAAAATGAAAAAAATCTATTATATCCGTCTTGTAGATGTTTAAAAAATAAAAGACACGTATTTTTTGTTTATTTAATCAATCAAAAACTGGCCGAGAAAGAGCGCGATAAAGCTTTCCGTGACGTCACGATAACGTATCATTTGCATATATCCGAATAATCGTGGGTACCTTTGGCACGCCGTAACTCAGTCAATTTTCTATTAATCGAAAAAAGAAAAAATACGTGTCTTTTAATTTTTAATAAAATCTACAAGACGGATATAATGGAATTTTTTCGTTTTTTTACATAATTATGCAAATAATCGAAGTATTATTATTAATAAATAATATTAATAAATAAAGGAGAAAATAATTTATAGGAGTGGCGTATACGTGAAATAAGGCAATGGCTATTAACTGTTATGCGATAGTGTTGTTTAGTTTTCTATATAAACAAAAGTATATTGATATATCTACGTTACCTATTTATATTATTTGGATGTAACATCTCTATATGTATACTATAAAAGCTACAATTTATTAAGCTTAACTTTATATGTATACTATAAAAACTATAATTTATGAAGTTGCTAATTAAATTAATTTGTTTATTAAATCATTAATATTAACGCGTGTATTATGTTAAAGCACGCAGATTAACAGAAGAATGCTCGATTTGCAAACTATCTAGTAGTTATCGAAACGCTATTGACTATAAAAAGACGTGTGATCTTTAAAATACTCGTATTAACATCAATGTCAGATGCTTTCTACGTTCGAAATTTGAAGTCAAAACACGTGTACCAATGTGTTCTCTGGGCATAAAATCAACTCTGAAGTTTAAGTATGATTTATTGATTGCTCTAAAGTGATAAGAAAATCTTTTCTAAAAGCATTCCTCACTAAATAAGGTCTGATGAAAATACATTCATGTAAAAGACGCCTAAAAGTTTATTTTATAAATATTAATATATTTAACATCATTTTCTTCCCGAAATTAGAATTGTTATTAGACGGTTATATTACACTTAACGCAACGAGAATACGAAACTTTAGTGAATCACAACTTGAAAAAACAAACATATACGAATATATACTTAGAGAGCTCGTATTTTTAAGAGTAATAATTACAAGTTTTTGTCGATTATTTGAGGACGAGCAAACGTTCGATTTGTATTAGGAAACATTTTCTAAATGATATATATACACAAATACTTATTAGTAGTCATTTTTTAAACGTTGCCTTTTATCAAGCCACTTGTGAAGAAATAAATTAGGCAATGTAATGCACTCTATCATTATTTTGGCAAATAAAATTCTATTTTTATCGTGAAAATATATAAATGTCAAAATCATGTATATTTAAAAAAGAAAGAAAATTCTAAGTGTGGATGAAGGAACTGAGCGGAAAATTGATGAAAATTGACGTAGAAAAATTCTTTAAAAACTACACATGATTGTGAAAGACCAATAAAACTTATTAACAATTACGCGCATTTTAGTTTTTGTTCATAAAAATAAATTTTTTAAATTGAATCTATGTAGCATGTTGATTCAATTTTTATAGATATAAATGGGCTTAATAGTTAGGAAAATCCCGCGCACTTTTCTATCCATTCAAAATATTATAATCGTTCAAGAAATAAATATTATTTCTCATTACAATTATGTACCTGAAAAAGATCAGTCGGTAGTAAAAATTTACACTTGTGTGTGATAATACCCTGTCAAAAGGAACTACATCCTCATACCCAGATAATTAATAAGAGCTGTATAAATAGACATGAGTTATTTTCTAAAAGAACCTTTATAAATTATATCTAAAAAAAAGTTAAAACCAAAGGAAAAACATAACATTAAGTAGGAATTGAACTCAACTCGAGATGGCGGTCTAACTTCATACTTAATGAAGTTAGAATTTATATTGAAATTGTAAATATAAAAATTATGATGTATATCATAATATATTAGATTATTAAAGTTGAATTAACTTTTATTAAAGTTATATATTCATTCACTTAATACAATGGCAAAAACGGGATAAATGGTAAATAATAAGAAAACTTATGATTGTACTTTTTATTAATCTCGTCATCATACAAATTAATTGTGAGTTAATTGTGAGTAAAAAAAAATTTTTATCTATGGTATCTATGTGGACTGGAACCCGGGACGACAAAAATGAAACCAAGCAGCACGCGTTAGCCATCTCGGCTATCAACGCACTAGAATCGTGTAGTACGAAAGTTACATATGTTCATAGAAATGTACGAGGGTTTGTGATTAAAAAAGGGGCTTAAGTTGTAGATATTTGCTATAATAATTAAGATATTTTGAGATATTTAATTATGCACAATAAAAAAAAATTGCATCGAGTGGGCATCGAAGCCTCTATTCTGGTCGAAGAGAAAAGATTTGCCGAGACGAAATTCTCTTCGAGTGCTCAAACTCGCACTCTTGCTTCGCCCCGCCCATCGGCTAACGTGATTGGTCAGAACCGGTAACATTTGTCGGGCAAGCTCGGAAGCATTGCCGTCAGCAATCTCCCTACTAATCTCTGCGAAATGTTTTCAGTGCCTTCAAGAAATATTTCGATGAAAAGTTCTTGTAATATTTTGGAAATATTACATGGAAGATATCATTGAAACATTTTAGTTTGTTATATAAACGTTGCTGCGGTATTTTTACTAGGTTTTTCGTAAATATTTGATGAAATTTTTCTGTGAAATAGTCGAAACGTGCGACCTTGCCGTGCAATGTTTTTTTTCAATTCCAGCAGCTTTATCAACTAATTTGTGTATCATATCGACGTTCAAGGTGCCCTCATGAAAATTTTCATCACTAATTTTTTCGTCCAATAAAAGTCATCTGCTAATGACGTTAGAGTACACAAACCGTTTCATATTCGCTCAGGAAATTTTTTACCTTCAAACCGATTTAAAAATTCATAAATACCTATGATAACAGATCTCCCTGAAATTCAAAAGTATTCTAGATTAATGTCTTCTGAAATTACACAGGTTTTTAGGGCATACGTTACCATCGTAATTGCAGAGAAATTAACAAAATCTAAATATCCAAACAGTACTTGAAATAGTTAATTGACCATGTTACAAATAACACACCCTGACAATTTTCTGATAATAAACAAAAGCAATTTTACTTTATGCAACCCTCAAAGTTTTGACCTATATTATCTGTTTATTAAGATATTAAGTAAAATCATAACAAAATAATGCGTGAGAAATAAACTTGACAACACTGCGTCATTCAGTTGTTAAAAAAGTGCTCATGCGCACGTGCATCGGTCGACGGCATTTTTTAAATGTACCTGAATTCTTGGTTGGCACGACAATTCCTTATAGTTATTTTTTACTGCGCTATATACCATTGTTGTGTTAGGTGTTAAATAAATAGGCGTATTTATAATCGTAAATCTCCGTTGCTTAAAGAGTTTTATTTATTATAAATTAGTGAGTCGTTATATTCTATACGTCCGAACTACAGCCCTGACAAAAGGGGAAGTGCCCCGCCGGCCGGCACTGCTCGCGCTTCAGCACACGGAACAACTAGTGGGTGGGGACAAGTGTTAGAACGCAACTAGAGCAGGGGTGCGCCACCTCTCTGCCAACACTCCCTCCTGGTGTAACCTGGCTCTAGTCCTCATCCCAGTCTTCCTCTCTTGGCTGCTCTTCTTCTGTAGTGATTGTTTCGACAACCTCTACGATTTTCTCTGTCGCCTCCATCACCTCTAGTCCAATCCTCCAGTCTGGTGCCACGTCCCGGTGAGGTCTGAAGACACCCTCGTATCTGTCATCTGGCAGAGGATATGGACAGTCGTGATGTTGACCATGTCCAAAGGTCGACCTCCCCAGCCTCGTTGCATGAAGGTCGTTCTGTGTGGCAGATCTATGGATATTGTTTTTCTTTCATTCGTTTGCATTCTTTACATATTCAATATTTCTTTCGTTAGTCTTTCGTGAATCGTGAATGTTAGAGGCTTCGTAAAAATGTCAGCTAATTGCTGTTTTGATGATATCCAATTTAGTTTGATTATTTCTCTCGATAAGCATTCTTTTACGTAGTGTTCGCGAATCTCCGTAAGATGTCTCAAACGCGTTCCGCCCTCTATCTGCGTACTTGCAATAGCCACGTTGTTGTCGCAATACAGTGTTGCAGGATACACTGTCTCGCTTGTCAATCCCTCAATCGCTTTTGCTATCGATATCAACTCGACACATGCTTCGCTCATTGCTATGTATTCCGCTTGACAAGTTGACAACGAGACATATGTCTGCTTACGCGTACGCCACGATACCGCATCTCCATACATCTTTACCAAGTATCCGCAAGTCGTTTTCGATCCTTTGCAGTCGTCCAAGCTTGCATCCGAATATACTTGCAGCCCGTCTAACGTTCCCTTGTATGTCAAGCCATAATCTCTTGTTCCGTTTAGATAACCGAATACTCGCTTTACGAGTTTCCATTCAGCATCTGTCGGATTCAATTGATGACGACCTAACACATTCACCGCGTACTACAAGTCCGGTCTGGTAGCGTTCGCGAGATACAACAGAGAGCCGATGATTTCGCGATATTTCGTTGGTTCTATCGCGTTTTC